TACATAGGTAACAACCACCTTCAAAAAGCCAGAAAGAGTCACAAGCCCAACCCCCTACAGGAAAAGCCCCTGTTCTGTATTCATCCCTGCTTGCTCCGTGACTCGCTTCCCCATTTGATCCCAGTTTACTCAATTTTACCTGAACTATTATACTTGTAATCTCATTGGCTGACCATAGTTTTGTCACACCTCACGCCCACCTTGTAATTCCTGTTTTCCTCCTATCTTGGACCCACCTCACCTCGGGCTTTGGCTCTCTAAAGTCCCTAGGAAGGGCAGGATCCTTGGCAACCCACTCAGGCCCCCTTTCATCCCTCCCTAGGACAGAAGCTTTCTTTCCCTCAGTGAATATATTCTTCTCTTAACCTCCGTTGTTCCTAAAATTCATTCTTTGATTTTAGAGAACACAAACTTGTCCCAGATATCGTTCAGGTTGGGGGTTTTATTTTCCGGTATCAGAATGACGTTGGGAGCCAGCCTGAGGTGCTCTAATACAAACGGAGCACATACTTTTGTGGCTCACGGTAGAGGTCGAGGGGTGTGGTAAGGGCAGGCATAGATTTTTCAGCCTTATGTCCTGATGTGAAGACAGGATGCTCTTGTAGTCTCCAAGAGCCAGAAGGCGTCATGTCTGCTGTGAGGCGAGTGCTGGGATGTCTCCCAGACCGTCTGTCTCCTGTCTCACAGCCATCACTCTGGCCCAGTCTTCCCCTGTCGCTGTTTGTTACCCCTCACAGAACTTCAGAGGAGATAGAACTGCCTGGCTGGTTGAGCACCTGACTGCTCGCAACGTGTTTTCCCACAATGGGAGGGTGAAGAGCTGGTGCAGCCCAGTGAGTGGTCACCCAATGTCTAAGGTGCAGCTCAGCACAGCTCTGCAATGTCTCCTCTGACCTCCTCCTGTCACAGTGAAAGGTAGGACATGGTGACCTGCTGCAGGGCCCGTTCTGTCCCTATGGCTACAGTCCTCCTCACCCAGCCAGCATGCTCTGGACCAGTGCCAGGTGCTGGGTGTGGAGACACAGAGCTCTCACTTTTGCACAGAGAAGGACTAGGTTTCCATGGAGCATCAGCTGTGACAGCTGTGACACCTGTGGGGAGGGAGTGGGGACAGCTGCGGAGGCCCCAAGGAGGGTGCTAAAGAGAGAGGCGGAGCAAGGGGGTCTGTCCGTGAACGATGAAGTTGTCAAATCCTTGCAACAATAAACATTTACATTTATTGTCTCAGGGACATGCCAGATGTCTCTGTGGACCTGTTTGGATTTAGTGCTTACTTCTTACCGTATCATAATTCCTCTGTATCCTTAAAATATTGCAGTTCTTTGAAAGTAATATTGTGTTTAAGAAAAGAATGCATTGCAAATGCAATTATGTTTTCATCCTATTGAGGATTCCATATGGCTCTCAAGCATTATTTTATTTAAACTTTAAGATCATCAGGGCACAACATTCTTAGCACATACTTTAAGCATCATATAGCTCACACATGTTTTTTTATATTAAAAGGGTTTTTATTGGCAAGTAATAATGGTACTTCTCTATGTGACATCCACAAGTTAAAGAGGCATGGTGCATTTCAGCTCACATTCTGTAGAGGGTTCAGTCCACAGTCAGCCAGACAGAGCAGCCTGGTGGCGAGCAGAGGAGCAACAGTCCATGGCAGGGTAGGCTGAGGAAAGCAAGTAGCAGCAGCCAGCTCTCCTTTCCATTTTATCCCATCTTGACTACCAGCTTATTGCTTCTTGCCACCCACAGCCAGGGTAGGCCTTGCTATGCTAATCAGTAACTTAGTACTCAGAGTACCCACGGCACCATGATATCTGTGGGTATCAGATATCCATGGTATCTCACTGTCAGAGAACGCAGCCTACAAGCGTCCTGTCTAAACCTCCCCTGTCTTGGGTTGTCTGTGGTCCCCTCTACCAGCTTCTTCCTTTGACCCAATACTTCCCTGGCACTCAAAGTCAGGTCCCAGTGCAAATGCTAATAGCAATTTAGTTATCACACACCCTGAATCCATATTCAGATGCCCTAGAGGCAGCTACCTCTGAAAAGTCCCTCCTATGAGTGCATAATGCTTTTGGGGGACATCTAAAAACAAGCCATAACACCATGTTGTTGTTGTTGTTATTTTAAAGAGACAAAAAAAAAAAAAAACCCCAATAGAAATGATACAGTTTCAAAACGAGATGATAGCAAATTAACAATGGTTATTATATTGTGTATTGTTATCTTCAAAGTAGTTGCTCAGATGACCAGGTACAGGCATGCAAAATGGATCAAACAATATAAACACTAACTGTTCCTTTCAATGAACTAATAGAAAAAGTAGTACAATTACCTTAGCTATCTGGTGTACATATACATATCTCTTTCCCCCTTCCTTCTTTTCTCTTCCCCCCATCCAGTTGCTCTTTCCTTTTGAGTAGTTTCTTTCCATTTCACTATATCTGTTGTACCTTTGGGATCTTCTTTTCCCTGTCAGGGTTTTACATTAAAGAGACAATATGATGTTTACACATGCCAGTCTGATTTATTTCACTTATGAGTATGGTCTCTAGTTCTGTCCATTCACCTATAAAAGCCTTGAGTTTATCTTTCTTTGTAGCTGAGTAGTACTGCATTGTATAAAAATACCACACCTTTTTAATCCACTCCTCAGTTGATGAACATTTAGGTTGTTTCCAAGATTTAGCTATGACAAACACCATCTTCTATTTTAACACAGTTTTCCATTGTGTGTTGATCAACTCAGATGGTCAGGTTTTTGATCACTGTGACCATTTCTCCCTGCCTTTTGATGAGGATTTCTGAATCTTCTCCAACTACTTTGAGTTGTATGATACAATATTGTTAAGCACAATCTGTGTAATACGACACAGCATTCTTTCCTTCTGCAGACTGTGAATTCACACCTGTCGAGCAATTTCCCCTCTCCTTCTTCTCAGTCTGCCCATCCTTGGCCTCTAGGAACCACTATTCTACCCACAGGTCTGTGAGGTCTGCTGTGTTAGATTCCATACATGTATATTTGTCTTTCTGGTTTTGTTTCTTTTTAGGATCTCCAGTTCCACCCATGTTACAGCTAAAGACAGACTTTTCCTATGTATGACGGAATAGATCCCACCTTGTATATTTAAATTTCTTCAGCTTTATCCATTCATCCATGGATGGGCTTCTTGTTTGATTCTGTATCTTAGACTTTGTGAAAGGTGTTGAAATAAAGAAGGGAGTGCAGATATCCCTTGAATGTACTTATTTCCTTTTGAGAAATGTGCATGAGTGGGATTATAGGACCATATTATAATTCTGTTCTTATTTTCCAATGAAATTCATCCTGTTTGCAATGATGGCTGTACAAACTAGACATTTCTACAAACAGTATTCATGAGCTCCCTTGTGTCTCATTTTTGCCAGGATATTTTACTTTTCGTCTTTTTATCATAGTGAGTTTGAGCTGAGATGTTTTCTCATTATGGTGTTGATTTGCTTTAGTCAACTTCTAAACATACTAAGATATAATGACAAAAACAGTACAGTATTGGCAAAACAAAAATAGACATGTAGTCCAGTGGTTAAGAATAGAAAATTTAGAAACCAATCCACATGTGTATAGTGAAGTAATTTTGACAAATTAAAATAACATATATGGGCAGAACATCCTCTTGAATAAGTGGATATCTACATGTGAAAGAATGGAGGGGGACTGATATATCATGCCACGTACAAGTCAAAATGGATTAACACTTAAATGCAAGTTCACAATCAAAATTAAGCATCACAGAAAGAATGCTTCAGCTTTCACCTGTGATATTTTGTAATGCATCTACCTGAGAGCCCAGCAATTTCCCTTTCCCCGCTCATTTTTACAATCCTTCTTTTACTTCACAACAAACAAGAATGTTCTCTACCTGAATAGTACTAAGAAGCACTGCTACGTGGTGAAAATTCCCCTCCAACAGAGAGAGCGTCTGAAGAGCCATCACCGATGGCAGCGAGCGCTGAAAGAGCACAGAGACCTTAGACAGAAGACACTGAAGGCGCACGGCCCCTTCTCTCATCCCTCCAGAGACAAACATGCCAAGACTGAGGTGCCTCCGGCTCATCCTTCCACATCCGTCAGCCTGGGGCCCTTACCTGGCCTTCATTTCTTATTGCTTTGTTCATATCACTCTTAGACTTATAATCCCAAGCTGAGAAAGGTGGCACAGGAATACATTTTAAAGATATGTCTGATTTTAAAAGTACAGTCTTTTTCAGATGAAAAGTATGTTTAATTTTCTTGGTTTTTTGAAAATGAAGGGTGGAGTTGCTCATGTGGTTTGCTGAGAGGATTTTTCCAAAATTCAATTTGCCCAAGATTCTAGCCCATATTTTTATAAAAATTTATTAGAGCAAACACATGATATGTCAGAGACATTGCTCTTCAGTGATCATCTTCTCAAACAGCAGCTTATGGTGGTAACTCATATTTTAAAAAGTTAATTATTTATATTCCAGTACAAGTGAGAAAGGGCAGAGTTTGTCTTCCCGTATTTAGCTCATTTTACTTACTAGAATGTCCTCCAATTTTATCCATGTTACACAAATGGGAGAATTAACTTTTATAGGTCACATAACATTCTTTTGTGTGCAGAGTCTACATTTTTTTCCATTTATCCATGGATGGAGGCAACGTTTTATTCCACATCTTGGCCACTGTGAACGGTGTGCAAGGGCTGTGGACCCAGGTATCTCCTCCCATGGATGAATGGACCGTGCTGCCCATGATGTTTACAGAGAACAAGACCTTTAGGAAGGGCTAAGGTAAGAGAACAATGGTTCTATTTCAGATTGCAAAAGACAGAATTTTCCACCCAATAAAGTCTGCCCAGTAATCAAAAAAACTGACATTTAAACAAGGAAACTCTTTCTTTGAAGTCACAGACACTCATTGGAAATGCAGACCAGCCAGCAGTCATTGATGTGTGCATGTGCTTTCTCTAGGAGACAGGCAGAGATCATCTGGCTTCTAACAGATTGACCCACACTTGAGATTGTAGGATCTGCACCCACGCTGTCTTCACGTCCTTGTTTCTCAGGGTGTAGATGAGTGGGTTGAGCAGTGGGGTGATCACACAGTAGAAGAAGGACACGAACTTGGCCTGGGAACTCTTGGCAGGAGGCTGGAGGTACATGTAGATGCCTGGTCCAAAGTACATGGTGACCACCAGCAAATGGGTACTGCAGGTTGTGAGTGCCTTGTGCCTTCCTTCAGCTGAAGGTAGCTTCAGTACAGATCTAGCAATGAATGTGTAGGAGATGATCACCATCAGGGGAGCCAACAGTGCAAAAGGGATGGCTCCTACAACCAGGGCCAGGTCATTGGCAGTGGTGTCCCCGCAGGCCAGCTTGATGAGCACAGGCACCTCGCAGAAGAAGTGGTCCAGGGTGTGGTGTCCACAGAGGGGGAGCTGGAGGGTGAATGTAACTTGGAGCAGAGCATTGGCCAGGCCACTGGACCAGGAGGCAGCTGCCATCTGCACACACACCCAGGGACGCATGATGATTGTGTACTGGAGGGGCCGGCAGATGGCCACGTAGCGATCAATGGCCATCATGGCCAGCAGGATGCATTCAGTGCAGCTAGTCCACTGAAAGAGGTAGGCTTGTGTGATGCAGCCCCAGGCAGCAATTGTCTTGTCTGGTCCCAACAGGTTGACCAGCAGCTGGGGCACAATGGTGAAGGTGATACCTAGGTCCAGGAGAGAGAGGTTGTCCAGGAAGAAGTACATGGGCGTGTGGAGTCTGGGGTCCAGCAGGGAGAGGAGGAGGATGGAGCTGTTCCCCATCAGGGTGAGGATGTAGGAGAGCAGGACCACTGCAGAGAGGGGCATCTCCAGCCACGGAAACTCCGAGAAGCCCAGCAGGACAAAGGTGCTGGGAAAACTAGCATTTTCTCTTTCCATGGCATCTGCCTTGTATATACCTAAAAGTAAATAGAAGTATCTTGAGGATATACATGACCTTCACTTCAGTAGCTTCATGGCTGCACTGTCAGACCTTCCACTGTGTTTGAGTAATAATCCCATAAGTGTGGGGTGAGTTCTTGAACACGTCTATAACAGTGCCCTGTCCCTTGACTTGGAAGACAGAATAGAGATGGATGAAACCACAGTGATTATTTCTGCACAGAGATGGATATACTCAACTTGTAACCTGGTTATAAAAGTACATCTCCCTACCCCTTTTCCTTCTTTTCCCACAACTATTCCATTTCCATTTCCCCTTCCATTCTGTCTTCCACTCCATTCAGTAACTATACTGTTCCGTATTCATGTAGAGAAAGCCACATGGTTTTGTGCGTTTGAGACCCTGCTTTCAAGAATGTTAAGGAGAGAGTGCCTCAGTGTCTTCTGGTCCAGTAGAGTGATGCACACTGCGGTTCAGCGGTTCAGAGCGCAGGTGAGCGAGCTAGTGCAGTTCCATGTGCTATGTTGTGGCTTGTGTCTAGATGTCCCTCAAAGCCTCCTGCAGTCCTATATGGGGCTTTTTCGGAGGTGGGTGGATCTACAGTGTGTGACAGTGTGATTGATTCATGGTGCAATGCTAAGATCAAAGCTGCTAGGATTAAGGATGTGAGTGCTACTGGCTCTAAGTAGCCTGGATCAGATATAAGGGATAGAAAGAGCTGTGATTGTCCATTGATTACTTTGTTATCTTCTGCCTCCATGAGCTGTTTCTCCTCTGCATTACCTGTCTGCCATGCCACCCTGCCTTAGACCCAGCTGGTTATGGACTTACACCTCTACAAACTTTGAGCTAAATAAACCTTTTCCTCTTTAACTTTGGGTGTTGGGTATTTTGTCTCAGCAATGAGAGAGAAATAAGTAGGACATGCTATGAACTGTCTGCACAGGCCATGGAATGGAGTTATTCTGGGCAACTGTCTACCTATGTTTCCATTTTCATCATGGTGAAATGCACACAGCATATTCTCTCACTTTTAACCATGTTCGAGCTTGCAGTGGAGTGGTGCTGTGTGCATTCATATTCTGAGCTCCCAGCCCCATCTTCCATCTGACAAGGCTCGGATCCGACGTGGGGAGCAACCTCTGTCTCCACGCCTGACTGTGCCAGGTGCCTTTCCACTTTCCATCTCTATAGTTTTGCTGTCTGTCAGTACCTCAGAGAAGCAAATTCCTGTATTATCTGCAACAGTGTGATTGGCTGATGTCACTTATATCAGGGATTCCAACCTTTCTCGCACCAGTGACTGGTGTCATGGAAGAGAATTTTCCGTGGATCCTGGGTGGAGGTGCTTTTGGGATGTTTCAGATGCATTCTTTTTAATATGCACTTTATATCTATCATTATTGCATTGCCCTATACCATGAAATAATTATGCAACTCACCACAAAGCAGAATTCATGGGACTCAGTTCTCCTGTAAGCAGATGGACCCATCTGTGGTTAAGGGTGACAGTGACACCTGAGGCGTGTTGCTTATGTCAAGCATACTAACATTTTTTAAATTTTGGTTCCTGTCACTGCAGAAAATCTTACTTCACAAATACAGGATGTTGGAAAGGAATGCAGGCATATCAGTGTTTTTATGATAACCTCAGGATATTTCCTCCTCACTATAATTCAGAAATGATGAAGGTTTGAAATTGCTTCAAACTTATTTTTAAGGCCAACGTTATTTGTGATCTCAAGCCTTAAGTTTTCTGTCATGGACAAAGTCATTCACCAGGCTTATTTACAGATGGTTCACTGACCCATTTACTCACATTTGAGGGTTATTTTGTGTTTGGGCAATAATGTGCAACTCCTTGGATGATCAAGCACCACCAGCTGGGGGAAAGAACATCCTGGCTCGGTCTCTTTCACAGTCTTTGCTGCCGTTTTAAACACATCAAAATCCAATGTTACGTCTTTGCTCCCATAATTCCGGTTTGGATTTGAATGAAACCATTTACCCTGCCAGCTTGTGAGTAAATGGGTCGGTGAACCATCTGTAAATAAGCCTGGTGAATGACTTTGTCCACGACAGAAAACTTAAGGCTTGAGATCACAAATAATGTTGGCCTTAAAAATAAGTTTGAAGCAATTTCAGGGGCAACTACACGCCCACTGTCAGACTGTTGGACTCGCCCGTCCCTGGGACGACCCTGTTTCTGGAGGCACCGACCTCGGCTGCTCCTCACGTCCCCGGCTCTGTGACCTTCAGAAACCACCACAAGCCTCCGCTATCGCTCATCACTGTAAAGCACGTTGGGCCAGCGCTCGCCCCGCTGCTGAGCGGGCAGTGAGTTAGGCAGCGGTACGCGGGCACAGACGGTCTCAAGCAGCCCGCTGCACCAGTTCCTTTAAGAGACGCGCAGGGCTCGGTGCGTGACACTTCCCCAGTCACGCAGCGGGTCTCAGGTGCTCTGTGTCTAGAGAAGGCACACAGCGCCCCGGCTGC